CAAAAACATGGCTTTCAGCATTAATACAAGCTTGGCACCGCAAAACAACAGAATTGTAAACTCGTCCAAAATCTTGTACATTTTGTATTTGCTCCGCCGCATCTATTATTCTTTGCTTAAGCTGCTCTTCGGTGGTAATTTCGACTGCATAGACAAGCTGTTTCATGTGTCCCCATAAATAAAAATCAAGCGGATTTAAATCCGGTGACCTAGCAGGCCACAATATTGGGCCACGTCTACCAATCCTCCTTTCATTGAAGTTGTTATTCAACCAATTCACTACATTTCTACCAATATGGGGTGGTGCCCCATCGTGTTGAAACCACATTCGATTTAGCAAACCCACAGGGACATCTTCCAGCATTTCATTAAGTTCATTTTGTAAGAACATTAAATAAGATTCGGCATTTAGTCTATTGGGAAGGACTATAATTGGCAGAATTCGCCCGTTGAAAATGCCATGCCAATGCATGTTCATTATGGATATTATTAATACCATCTCTGGTTAAAGTAGCTTCATCTGAGAATACAATAGAAGAAATAAAATTTGGATTTTGCTCATGTTGACGAAGCAGCCATTGACAATACAGAAGTCGTGGCTCGTGATCATTTGGCTGCAAATGCTGAACATTTTGCTTATGGTACGGGTGCAATACTTCTCGGTGTATGGTTCTCCAAACAAAGCTATGAGAAACTTCCAGCCTACTAGCAATACGTCTGGTACTAATGCCGGGTTCGTTAAGTACAGCGTCAATTACTTGCTCTTCTTGACCAGCATTGTGTTTGAAGTTCGCACCTCCTGTATGCTTGCTTCCAATACCATTTCTTTGATATGCGTCTGAAAATACACGGCGGGATGGTTGTCGTTTATTTGGAAATCTACGCAGATATTCTCGGGAAGCTGCAGAAGCATTTCCATTTGCGTACCCGTAAATAAAAACAATGTCTGCATATTCTTCATTCGTAAATTCCATTTTGTTTATAAATTTACAATAAACTGACAGGTTGTATGACAAATAAGGCAGAAGACCACATATACGTTTCCATGGATGTATATTTTGGTTGCTAGAATTATGAATCCTATTATTGCATATTGTTATCCTTTCATTGTTTGAATTCAAAACTTTGAACTCGAATAACTCGAAAACGAAAAATGATAGAACAAAAAAGTATTAAAGATTTTTATTTACAATGACGTTTTGAATATAGAATTTCATTTTTCGCCTCCTGGTATGAAACACCCTGTATATGGAAAATTGAATAAATCTTAAAAACGGTCCTACTTTTATAACTTTTGACGACATATTCAGATTCAGCAGACAATTTTACATAGGAATTGACTGCTAAATATCCGGGATCCAAATTGCTGTTGACTAGAATTATTAGTGGCTGCTTTTTCGCTATGACAATTAGTCATTTTTAACTAATTCATTTTTAGACAGTAGTATTTTCCATATGGTTCTTTTTTTTAAGAAAATTTGACAAATTTATGTTCTTCGTTGCCGGAATCCTTTTTTAATGGCACGCACTTTTTATGTGGCCCATGACTGCTTGCAAATCAAACATTTGGCTTGAAACGGTTTTTTATCAACAGGAACTATGATTTTTCAAAGTCTTTTACTGATTAATTAATTAATTTATTAATTATGCTTTTACTGATTAATTAATTAGTTTATTAATAATGCTTACCATTTACAAAATAAACAAATATTAATCACCCTAAACACAAAAATAGTTGGTTTTAGTAGTAGAAGTTTATAGTTATAAGTCGTGATATAGACTTCTAAGGTTATAGTGATAAGTTTGACATATAGCGCTGCCATATTTTGAATAAATTAAATTTAAATTATACTACATAATTCTTATTTTAAATGAAAATTTTGTTGACCAGTTTTATTTACACTCACAGGCAAAATAATCGATCCACACAAATTTTCTATGAATTTCAATCGCAAATATCTTTTTTATTTGATGTCGGATTTAAACGAATATTGTAGATAAATTAATGGACAATCGCTCACATTTTAAAAAATTACTAAAAAATAGACGTAGGTTTATAATATACAGGTTTAAACAAAAATATATTTTTTACCATAAGTTTAAGACACTCTGTAGAGTGGCAAAACCGTATATTGTTCTAAATTAAGTTTTATTTATCAAGTCACAACTATTTTTAACAGTTTTGTTTTTGGTTCACCTCGATATATTTATTTTTGTGAAAAATATGGATTTTTAAAAAAAAACATTGCAATTTCCAATATTTTTCTGTATGAAGAACTAAGGTTGCTATGGTCCATCCATAGGCTATAGAGAATGACAGTGACAGTTTTGTTGAATCATCCCATACTTGGACATGTCATACACGGCTTTCAAAAGCTATCAAATTGTTTCTGGCAAATTAATGTTAAATTTTGAGGTGTCTTCTTACTTTAAAAAATGGATATGTCTCCGAATGATGTTGCCAAAGCCATTAATTTAATCCAGTATGGACGGTCACAGTATTACGTGGCAAGTGTTTTAAACGTCACAAGAAGTAAAGTACAAAGGGCAACATCAGTCGGAGATATTTTTAAAAGTAAGAAAACACCTCAAAATTAACACAGTAATTTACAAAAAACAATTTGATAGCTTTTGAAAGCTGTATATGACATGTCCAAGTATGGGATGATTCAACAAAACTGTCACTGTCATCCTCAATAGGCTATGGATGGATAATAGCCACCTTAGTTCTTCATATAAGAAAAATATTGGAAATTGCAATGTTTTTTTTTTAAAATCCATATTTTCCACAAAAATAAATATATCAAGGTGAACCAAAAACAAAACTGTTAAAAATAGATGTGACTTAATAATTAAAACTTAATTTAGAACAATATACGGTTTTGCCACTCTACAGAGTGTCTTAAACTTATGGTAAAATACATGTTTTATAAACGTACGTGTATTTTTTAGTAATTTTTAAAATGTGAGCGATTCTCCATTAATGTATCTACAATATTCTTTAATATTTGTTTAAATCCGAAAACAAATAAAAATGTTATTTGCGATTGAAATTCATCGAAAATTTGTGTGGATCGATTATTTTGCCTGTGAGTGTATAAATAACCAATTCCCTGACCGACTTAGGAATTCCCTGACTTTGTAGATATTATGCCAATTCCCTGACATTTCTAAAAAATTTAAATTCCCTGACATTTCCAGGTTGTCCAGATGAGTGGCAACCCTGGATTTTGTCCCGAGTATGGTCATCATTTATTGGATTTAAAGGTAGAATAGGTATAATATTTTTTATTAACTTCCCTTTATTTTCTCTTGCTTCAGCCAAACTTAAATTATAATAATCCATATTTCTGGTAACGCAATTTAACGAACTTTTGTGGGCAACATGCAAATAAACCATTTCCTTCAATGTAATGTTAGTTTAACCGCATTAAAATATCGCAAATTGTGAAAAAATATCGCTTGGATCTTAAATATACTACAATCATTTCAGAATTGCTAAACTAAGTACAAATAAATTGTTTTTGATTGTACATTCGTGACTTTGCTTAAATAAAATACAATTGTGTTATAATGAAAGGATTCTTTTACTTGAAAATATTGATTACACAAAAAATACTGAATTAAGCCAATTTTATTTGCTTGAAATGCGCTGAAATTTTAAAACACTAAAGAAGTTACAATTTTATCAATTTTTATTGATTTTTAGTAAAACTATTAAAATAGGTGCTAGTGCTGAGGTGCTACCAATATAACAAAAAAATAATATGAACTAACTAAATTTAAAATACCTTAATTATACTTATAATCCAAAACCCAATTTTATACATCTATAACAAAAAAAGTTACAGATAGTTTTCCTAAGTAATAATGTTATAATCATTCAAAAATATACATACATGTAATACATATATTTCTTCTAAAATGTTCATTCAAAATTAAACAAAATTTACCATAATCAATCAATATTACAAAAAGTATATCGAATAAACTATTCAACAAAACCAAAAACAAGAAAAATTTTACAATTCAGAGAAAATAAAAAATGGGAAACTTTTAGGTTTAAACCACAATCCATACAACATCTATTTGTTTCGCGCATTAGGCAACCCACTGCACAAAATGTTTTATGAAAATTTTTGAAGATGTGTTGTTCCTATAATAATAATTTTATGCCAGTCCAATGAAATTAAGTAATAATAACTATTATAAAATTATTATTATATGAACAACACATCTTATTAATAATCATTTTAATCGATGTGTTTCTTACAGAGGCACTTGTAGGTCTCTTTTAATTTTTGTTTTTTTATTTATCCCTTATTTTTTTAATTTCAAAAATTTTGATCTGCTTAGCTGAAAGTAATATGTGATTTAATATTTGTAAAACCGATAATGTTACTTTTTTACTCAAAAAATGTCCATAAGGCGATATACGTTTTCTGCCATTGAGGCATTTGGCATAACTTCAACGAAATGAAGTTTTGCCCTGAAAAGTTCTTTTACTTTAGAGTCTGATATTATTTTTGGTAAAGTTATCTTTTTATTTCGATATTATATACAATAATATAAAACTGTTTTGTTAAACTATGATAAAGTGTTATATTTAATAAATAAATAAATCAATAAATAACATAAATAAATAATTAACAAGTAAATTACCAATAATAAATATTTTTTATATACTAAAAATACTAAATCAAAACTGGCATAACCCACCAACCAAATAAAAAAAAATGAACTGTAGATTGTGATTTAAACAAAACTACTAAAAACCCTATTGATTTTATAAAACCTTTTAAACTTACTTTTAAAGTTACCCATTACAAAAATTTGTATGTAATGCTAAATTTAATTAATCTTTAAAACAAAATTTTTCTTGTTCATGATTTTTCTTTCTTTCAAGTATACGAGTAGATACGGTCAAGCAAAATGCAATAATACACCACATACCAATATATAATAAGAAAGAAAAAATAACTAGGTAAAAATTTACTCACCAGAAAAGCACCATTTGCCGGTCATTCTGGCAAAAATCAGTGTTACCACAACAACAATGACGACACATACTGCCACAACAATGCCAATTATGGAACCAAGACCAATTTCAAGACCTGAAAATTAAATATTTTAGAAAAAAGTTTTAATTATTTTTTTCAAAAAATCTAAAAAAATAAATGGGGGCTTGGGGCTAGGGTTTAGTATAAATAAATGCATTAAATTACAACAATACACTATCTAGGACCTATGGGCCTTTCCTATTTTCTCGCCACTGTCAGTCTTATTTAAAAATACAATCAGTTACTGATTACGAACAAAGAGCAAAAGGAGTATATTTTTATTATAAATTACGCAATAAGGTAGTAAGGAAATATGAAAGACCTGTACAAATAAATATACTGACATAAAAAAAATCTAAAATTGTGGATTTTCGACATTCAGGATTTTTTTAAATGCATTCCCGAAAACTTACCATAAATTCTTTGTCTAAAGAATTTTTGAATTCCTACTTGACAGCATGAAAATAGTTCATTTTTAGTGCGCACTTTTGGGGGACAAACAAAAAAAGCGTTAACTGTCACATAGTAAAAGTACATAAGTGTGCGCATTTTAGTTAGTTTGTTAAAAAAACAACAATTTTACCAAAAAAAAGCATTCCTATTAAATATAAAATATTTTTAAAATTTTTATGATATTTCTTAAATGTGTTTTATAGGCAACCAACTTGACACGCCTATATACAATGAACCAATCAAAGAAAATATAATTTTAGCCCACTTTTAGTCGACTATAAACATGGCAGTTAATAATTAAATAACTTAAATGGACTAAATAGAGTTTAAATAGTTTTTTTTGTTGTATTTTCTCTGTTGCCTTGTTTCAGTGTTCCATTCCTTCTGCGTTTCAGGGTTTTAAATATTTCAAGCGTTTTTGCCCCGAGGTTCCATTAAATATTAACCGGTTTAAATTGAAGAGAACAAGAGTTTTTGGTTGGAAAATTATTTTATGGCAACTAAAATGAACGAATTAAATATTAAAACAACTTTATTTTATTTTAAGCGGAAATTTAAATATGTATTATATGTATTAAATGTTAATTTAATTTTGTTTTACTTGGGTCGCACATGTAAATAATAAACAAGACTTTATAATTTAATTTAATTTTTACAATTCAAATTGTGTTTTGGTGTGTTGTTCAAAAAATGTTTTGACACTCTAAATTGATAAAACTTGGTGTGTTTTTTAATTCTAAAATGTGTTTTTGACAATCTTAAGTGAGTTTTTGACATTCCCTAATGAGTCCTAGACTTAAAATAGTGTTCTAAAATACATTCAAAAATTTGTTTTTAACACAATTAAATAGGTTTTTAAAAATCCAATATATTTTTTTTACAATCTTATAAGATAAGACAATTATAATTGTTTTATTAATTAATTATTTAAAATTTTTGACAATTAGCTCAATATGTTTTACATTGTAAAATTGATAATAAATAATGTTTTTAACAAAATTAAGTGTTTTATATTCAAAAAACGTTTTGGCATTTTAAATTGAGTTTTTGAAATTGTGTTTTTGACTAAAGAATGTGATTTTCACAATATTTTGTAAATTTTTGAAATTTATAAATGCGTTCTGCATTCCCAATTTTGTTTTTAACACCTTTATATAGGTTTTAAAAATCCAATATTTTTTGACATTCTAATTTGTGTTTTTGACATGCTTAAAATAGATATTTAAAATTGTGTTTTTAACTATTGGATTTGACAATAAAACACTATATATATAGTGTTTTTAGCAAAATTAAGTGATTTTTTAACATTATAGAATGCATTCTAGACTTTAAATGGTGTTTTTCTTTTAAAATTGTATTTTATACAAACTTTTTTGAATACCCAATATACATTTTTAACAGTCTAAATAAATTGAATTTTTGACACACAAAAATGAGACAATAAAATTGTTGACAATCTAATTGTTTTTTACAATCCTAAATTTGTTTTTGACCATCAAAATTGTGTTTTTATAATTCTGAAATGGTATTTTAAATTAGAGTGTTTTATAATTAAATTTTTATTTATATTTTATATATAAATTTTTGATATTTAAAATAGTGTTTTTGACTATTTAATTTGACAATCAAGACAATTAAATGAATACGTTTTACATTGTAAGATATAAAATTGATAATTTTTTTAAACAATATTAAGTGATTTTTGACATTATAAAATGCGTTCTAGACTTTAAATGGTATTTTACTTTTAAACTTGAATTTTTGATAAATTTTAATAGGTTTTTGAATAGGTACCTAAAAAATATTTTTAACATTCAAAATAAATTTTGTTTTTGATACACTTTTTTTAAATGATACAATACAATTTTTGACAATATAATTGTGTTTTTACACCCCTAAATTTGTTTTTGACAATCAAAATCGTGTTTTTAATTTAATTGTTAATTGTTAATCGTGTTTTTAAAATTCTGAAAGCATACGGACGGGAAAATCAAAATATTTTGACCTTTTAATTGTGTTTTCAAATTGTATTTTTGAGTGTGATTTTGACATCTTAAGTAAATTTTTGACATTTATAAATGCGTTCTGAATTTCCAATTTTGTTTTTGACTTTTATAAATCCAATATATTTTTAAATTGTGTTTTTGATACGCTTAGAATAATATATAAATTTTTAATATTCAAAATTGTGTTTTTGACTATTTGATTTAAAAATCAAGACAATTAGATGAATACGTTTTACATTATAAAATATAGTCTTGGCAATATGAAATTTATAATACAGAGTTTTTTGACATTATAGAATGCGTTCTAGACTTTAACTGGTGTTTTACTTTTACATTCTAAACATTCTAAATAAATTTTTACAATTCTAAACTGTTTTTTCTTAAATTTGAGTGTTTTATAATTAAATTTTTATTTATATTCAAAAAATATTTTGACATTCTAAATTGTGTTTTTGACAATTTTAAGTAAATTTTTGACATTTATAAATGCGTTTTGCATTCCAAATTTTGTTTTTGGCACCATTATATAGGCTTTTAAAAATCCAATATATTTTTTGACATTCTAAATTGTGTTTTTGACAAGCTTAAAATAATTTAATAAAAATTTTTGATATTTAAAATTGTGTTTTTGACTATTATTAGGTTCAAGATAATTAGATGAATATGTTTTAAATTTTTAAATATATTTTAATTGATAGTGTTTTTAACAATATTAAATGTGTTTGTGATTATAAAATGTGATTATGAGTCATAATTTATGACAATAATTTTTTTTTACATTAAATAGGTTTATTATGTTTTTAAATACCCATTGACATTCTAAATTGTTTTTGACACACTTGAATAAGTTTTAATACTGCGATATACATTTTTGACTAAATAAATTGTGTTTTTGACTTTTTGTTTTGATAATCAAGTTTAATTTTAACTTCGTAAAATGTGCCTTTTAGATGAACATATTTGTCTTTTTCTTATATATTTTAATTGATAGTGTTCTTAACAATATTAAATTTGTTTGTGATTATAACGTGTGATTTTGACAATCTTATTTTTTGACATTAAATGGGTTTATTATGTTTTACCCATTGACATTCTAAATTGTTTTGACACGCTTAAATAAGTTTTAATACAGCGGTATACATTTATGACTATATAAATTGTGTTTTTGACTATTTGTTTTGATAATCAAGTTTAATTTTGACTTCGTAAAATGTGCCTTTTAGATGAATGTGTTTGACATTTTTTAATATATTTTAATTGATAGTGTTTTTAACAATATTAAATTTGTTTTTGATTATAAAGTGTGATTTTGACAATCCTATTTTTTGACATTAAATAGGTTTATTATGTTTTTAAATACCCATTGACTTTCTAAATTGTTTTTGGCACACTTGAATAGGTTTTAATACTGCGATATACATTTTTGACTATATAAATTGTGTTTTTGACTATTTGTTTTGACAATCAAGTTTAATTTTGACTTCGTAAAATGTGCCTTTTCGATTAATTAAGTTTAACATTTTTAAATATATTCTTGGCAATATAAATGTGTCTTTTAATGTATTATAACACATCAAATTGTGTTTTAAAGGTTCTTAAAAAATTTAATTGTGTTTTAATGCTATTTTTTTGGAAAAATTAATGTTTTTTTGTTTTAAAATTAAAAAGATTTTTATAATATAAAAAAGTCTTACCTTCAGGTTCGGGACTAGTTGAAATTCTTGTACTATAATCCTGGGATCCCATATCATTATAGGCAGTCAAAATATAAACCTTTTCAGTATCTTCCTTATTTATATTTGCTATTCTTAGATCTACCCTGTACTTTCCTTGTCCCTATGTTGAAAAAATTACAGTTTTTTATTTGTACATTAATTATTTTAAATAATAATTTTTTAATTAAATTTGTTAATCTTTCGACAATGTTAAATAATAGATAAAATATGTTTTTACCGGGAATTCAAAATTAATTTCGCAATATTAATCTAGCAACTGTAATGTGAAAATAAATTAAAAGTAAATATTTAATAAACAAATATTTAAATTGCGGACAAATTATTAATTTTTAATAAACAAAATATTTTCATCAAATATTTAAATTGCGGCCAAATATATCAATTATTAATATCACATGTGATTTCAGATATAAAATTAATTTTTGTACATAGTTGCCAAACTTACCAAATCTTGCGCATTTGAAGCCTCTATTCTTCCAGTGTTGTCACTAGATCCCTCCCTAATTTTTTGTCCATTGACTGTCCATTCAATTTGAGGTTTTGGATTGGCCTCCACGTCGACCGTAATTGAACCTATTTGACCGATTTTGTAACCGAACAAATCGATTGGGTTGGGTTGAGGTAAAGGAGGGTCTGGAATAAAAAAAATCATTGAAACATATTCTGTAAACGGAATATTATTCGACTTACATTTTACATCCAATTGGCGACTGGTTTCCGATCTTCCATTTGGATAGGCTGGGTGATATGCAACACATCTTAAACTTTTTCCATTATCCGAAGCTTGCAACCGTCTTGTCAAATTTTGCACTTGGGAATGTAAATTTTCCTTGGCCAAATCAATGATGGTTGGCATACTTAACTCGTCTCCTGGTAGAGGTTCGCCGTCTAAAAAAATTTAACAAAACATTAATTTTCATATATTGTCAAAATTAGAAAAATCGCATAAAAAATAAAAAAGTTATAACAAAAACTACACAGCAATCTTTTTTTCTTGTTTTTCTACATTACAAAATGGTTTTGTAACACTATGAGTGGGTTTTTACTTTAAAAAGTATTTTCGAGTTTTTACCACTCTTAAATGTCTTGATTTTTGAGTTTTTCTAAAAATGACACTGAAGATGAAAAAATAACTATAATTTTTCTTTTATTATTAATGATGTTTTAAGATTTCAAATGGTCCTTTTAAACTAAAATATATTTGACATTCTAAAATGTGTTTTTGACAAAGACTTTTTGGATATAATATTTTGCTTTGTTCTTGACAATCGTTTTCGACAATAAAGTGTTTTTTTATTTTAAAAAAGACAATTATAAGTAAAAAGTTTAGAAAGTTTGTAAAAATGACAATAAACTACATTGCGATACTTTAACCGATAAAAATGTGTTTGACATTTTAAAATGTATTTTTAACAAAATAAATAATATTAAAATATGTCAAAGATTCCCAAGACAATACTTAAGTTCTAAAAACACAATTTAATATTCTTAAACTCTTTGTTAAAAACACATAATAAGCTTTTGACACTACAATAAAATATGATTTGGAAATTTTAAATTGTTTTTTTACAATCCCAAATTTGTTATTGACACTTAAATTTATTTAACCTTCTTAAATGTGTTAAATGGTTATCGACAATAAAATGTAAAACTAAGATTTTAGAATGTGTTTTTGTATTTTAGATAATTTTTTTCTTCAAAATTATGGTTTTGAAACTTCTCAAGATAATATTTAAGTTCTAAAAAATAATTTAATAAACCTTTTGTTAAAAACACATATTATGCTTTTGACACTACTACAATATATGATTTTAAATTGTGTTTTTATATTCCAAAATTTGTTATTGACATTTACATTTATTTGACATTTTAAAATATGTTTGTAAATTTAAAAAGGTTATTTAACATTCTTAAATGTGTTATTGACAATGGTTTTTGACAGTAAAGTATAAATAATATTAAAATATGTCAAAGATTCCCAAGACAATACTTAAGTTCTAAAAACACAATTTAATATTCTTAAACTCTTTGTTAAAAACACATAATAAGCTTTTGACACTACAATAAAATATGATTTGGAAATTTTAAATTGTTTTTTTACAATCCCAAATTTGTTATTGACACTTAAATTTATTTAACCTTCTTAAATGTGTTAAATGGTTATCGACAATAAAATGTAAAACTAAGATTTTAGAATGTGTTTTTGTATTTTAGATAATTTTTTTCTTCAAAATTATGGTTTTGAAACTTCTCAAGATAATATTTAAGTTCTAAAAAATAATTTAATAAACCTTTTGTTAAAAACACATATTATGCTTTTGACACTACTACAATATATGATTTTAAATTGTGTTTTTATATTCCAAAATTTGTTATTGACATTTACATTTATTTGACATTTTAAAATATGTTTGTAAATTTAAAAAGGTTATTTAACATTCTTAAATGTGTTATTGACAATGGTTTTTGACAGTAAAGTATAAACTAGGTTTTTACAATTTGTGTTTTTATTTTAGAAAAATTTGTATTCAAAATTATGGTTTTGAAACATCTCAAGATAATATTTAAGTTCTAAAAACACAATTTATTATCTATAAACCCTTTGTTAAAAAACCATTATGCTTTTGACATCACAATATATATATATAGTATATATATAAATTTTAAATTGTGTTTTTACATTCCAAAATTTGTTATTGATTCCTAAATTTATTTGACATTTTAAAATAAATTTTTGACATTTTAAAATATGACTTTAAAAAGGTTATTTAACATTATTTAATGTGTTCTTGAGAATCTCTTTTTTGACAATAAAGTGTGACACTAGAATGTGTTTTTTATTCAAAATTTGTTAACGACATTCTAAAATATGTTTGTGACAATAGTTTTTGATAATAATCTAAATTATGTTTTTGACACTTTGAAATTTTATTGTGCCATAATCTAAGATGTGTTTTACAAACTAGAATTAACTTTTTAACATTCTTAATGCTTTATAACCTGCAGAAAACTTGTGTAAAAATACAAATTATGTCCTAACACATTGATGATCTAAAATCTTTTGTAACAAGTTTGGAGCCTTGTGTTTTTGGCAAAGAATGTAAGGTTTTTGTAAAAATGACACTGAAGATAGAAAAGTACATGGCGATATTTTTTCTGAATTATTGACGATGTGTTTTTAAAACTTAAATATGTTTTTAGTTCTAAAATGTGTTTTTAACAAAATAAATAATATTTAAATATGTCCAAACACATTTTAGTTTGCTAAAGATTATCAAGGTTATATTTAAGTAGGCACCAAAAACTCATTTTGCTTTTGACACTACAATAGTTTTTTTAACACTTTAAATTTTGTTTTAACATTCCAAAATTTGATATTAACACGTACTTTAATTTGCCATTTTAAAATATGTTTCTGAAAAATGTGTGACTAAAAAGTGTATTTAGCATTCCTAAAGGTGTTCTTGACAATAAAGTGAAACTAGGATTTAAGAATGTTTTTATTTATTATATCCTAACATCTTGACAATCTGAATTTTTTTTGTGGCAAAAAAAGATTATTAAGATCATATTTAAGTACTATGCTTTTGACACTACAATAAGCAAATGTTTTTGACATTTTAAAGTGTGTTTTAAGATTCTAAAATGTGTTATTGACTTATTCTACACTTTAAAATGAGTTTTTGACATAAAGTGTTTTGACAATTATATTTGACTTTTTGACATCCTTTTATGTTTTTTTGACATTTCATTTTTGAATAAAAAACAACAGTTCTAATAAAATTTACCAAAACTTTGTTTTTCTTATTTAATTGTTAATCTAGTAACTTTTTAGTAACTTACCCAAAAACCAGCTTATGTTGGCAACAGGTCTACCATCTTTAACAATACAAGAAGCCAATAACTCATCATCAAGTTTATATACTGACAATTTGTCAGTACCTCTGCTGAGGTCCAACTCAGGTTGTTTAGGTTCTCCTAAAAGTTAAAAAAAAAATCAATGCAAAAAGGTTACAATTTTTTTTACTTTAAACTTACTTGCAACTATTAGGCGCATCACACCGAATGATTCCTTCGATTCTTCCTCAATACCAATTGAACATTTAACTTCCCCATTATTGGTTTCCTGCACTCTGTTAATCACAAAACCGCATTCTCCCCTGGAAAGACCATCACCAACATAATACACCTGGGGATCCTTCTTTTTGGGACTCAAATTTATGGGATTTAAACCGGGAATCTCGGCTCTGCAGTACTGTAAAGGTGTGGCGACTCTGCACATGAACGTCACATTTTGTCCCGGCAACACCAGTAGCTCTCTATTCATGACTTCCACTTGTATGGAGACATGCCCTGTAACAAAAAACAATAAACATAAGTTAAGTTCAACATTTGCTATAAATATCAATGTTTTTTAATGATATCCATGCCACTGCGCCATACAGTTATTTTATACAACGAAAACAAGACGAGTTTTAAGGGGGTCATATTTTGTTATAGATTATACTATACGAAAAACAATGAAATTGCAGAACAAAATTTATTTATTAATTAAGTGGTTAAAATTTCTTCCGCCAACTTCAATACACAAGTACAATTTTTTATAAAACGTCTTCTTACACTGAGAAAAATAAAAGCATCGAGTCAATGTTTACTAATGCATTGACTTTTTTCTTGTTAAGTCAAAAAATATTTGCATTAAATTAGGCATTTTTTGTTTAATGAGTGCTTGATTGAAGATTTAAAAACTTTTTAACCTTTTTTGGTCAAGTAAAAAAATTATTTTGTTTTTGTTCCAACACTATAATTTACTTTAACTAAAATAAAATTTGCATGTTCAATAAATAGATGTATTTCGGTTAATTGATAAAACTCTTATAATTAGGGATGGGATTTTAGTTATTTTACCTTTTTTCAGCCGATGTAACTATTTGAAAAGCAATAATGCCAAAATGTGTTTTAAAAGATTTTCTTTTATATGAACCTAACTTGTTTTCACCTTTTTTACCTTTTTTGGAGGTTTTTGCTTTAAACTACCTTTTTTATACTTTTGTTACCTATTTTTTAACTTGTTTTCACCTTTTTTACCTTTTTTGGAGGTTTTTGCTTTAAAGTACCTTTTTATACTTTTGTTACATATTTTTTAATTTGTCAGTTTATTTTCACCTATTTGTTACCTATTTTTACGTATTTTTACTTATTTTATTTTTTTGTGCTTTTTTTAAATTTTGCGCCAATATTTTATCCAGGGCGTGCAACTCAACGGTATAAAATTTTTTCTTATGGTCACAGACTGTAACAGTAACTTTCTTTACAGTTACCTTCTTTGTAGTGAGCTTATGTTCTGTCATAGAACTTCTGTGTAGTGAGTGTCACAGTGAAACACAGTTTATTGCATATAAATAGTTTATTGTGGGTATGTTCTGTGTTTGGGTATGCGGCTAAACAAAATTATAAACAAAACTTGAACTTTTAATGTTTTTTTTTTACCTAAAATGCTGTTTTTTTAACCTAAAATGCTTTTTTTAGTACCTTTTTAGTTACCTATTTTTCAGTTTTTAGTACCTAAATATCCCATCTCTACTTATAATGATGTTTGGAATTCTTCTTTGGGGAGAAATAAAATTCATCGATTTAATACAAGTAAAAAATTTACGGTGCATTTTCTGTGTTTTGCATTAACACACCATGTTATATGTGGTATTAGGGTGGTTCTTATTTGACCGATGTCGAAATTTTATCGTGCCGCCCCCTTCATTTGTTTTTAAAAAATATTAAAACTTGTTTCCTTCTATTGCCTGTAACAACGAGAAGTTTTCCAGATAGAGGATTTTTGCCTTAAATGTATTAATTTTTTAAAATTACTACTAATCTATGAAAAAGTATAATTTTTTGAGAAAATGTAGAGGACATAAGTTACTTTTAAACAAAAAAAAAAAGAAATCATGTATTTTCATCCTAAGGTATTTTTTACTTCGCTCGATTATTACTTACAGTTTTTCATATAGGGGATTTTGCTTTAAAACGCAATAATTTTATAAAATCATTAATAATTAATGAACAATTCTAATTTTTTGAGGAAATAAAGGGAAAATATGGTAGTTTTAAACAAAAAAAAAGAATTCATGAATGTCCATCGTAAGGTCTTTTTTACTTCGCTCAATTATTACTGTTATTGTTATTTTATTGAAAATGGCATAAAAAACAAAATATTCGTGATAATTTGCATTTAATGCATAATTAGTGTGTTTTAAAACGTAATTTTGTACTTTTCTAATGTTGGTGCTACCTAAATATCTTTTAGGCAATCTTAAATTATTTGTTTTATAAAAATTCTAAAGACTAAAAATAATTTATAATAACCTTTCCTACCAAAAAGTACGCCACTGATCGACTAGGAACTTTAGGCTAATCTGGTTGCCTAATTTAATTTGTTATGGTTGGTAACAACCAACGTTTTCAGATTCTGTCAAAAAAGTCGCCAAATTTTGTTTAAATTTAGCTTAATTACAAAAGTGACAAAATCAACAATGCAAACTGTTAATTTGGCGTTTTTATTAATTGTTTTTTATGTCATTTTTGTAATGAAGGTAAATTCAAACAAAATCTGGCAACTTTTATGGCAGAATCTAGTGAATTTCTTTCAAATTTTAGGTTATGTGCTCAAATTGTAAATATCTTAACTAAGGGAAGTGCTTTTGAATTTATTTACACAAATTGAATATTTGTGAACTTGTCATAATTTCAACTGAGTAAACAGAAAGAAAAAAACCGATGAAAAAAAATTAATTTTGTGGTTATGTTATGTGGTCACAGAAAATTTCTGTGGGTTATTTAAAATAGGTACTAAATTTTCTAATTATTGCTTAAGCTAATAGCTGGATGATTAAATAAATACAGAAGGGTATTCTGCCCTATTATGGAGAAAGGCAGTAACAGCAAAAAAATGCAAAATGCGTTTTCTTTTGCTATGGTAAAGCTATGGACAAAAAATCAATAAATACCCACTGCTTTTTATAAAAATGTAGTTTATGCTAATTTTTCACAAATTTCTTGTTTAGCAGTTACTGCCTTTCTCCATAGTAGGGCAGTATTAGAGCTTTAAGGGCATCAAACTTTTGTATTTATTGAGTTTTTATTTATTTTTTTTCAAGAAATATTTTTAATAACAATTTTTTACAACTGGCAACGCGCAGCTACTTTGTTGGTTGGTATCTAAATACTCACAGAACACAAGTTTGTAACCAGTAGCGTATCACAAAAAATATAAAAAACTTCTAATGAATTTGTATGCTTTATGTTTGGGAAAATATTTTTTTAAATATTTTTTTCTACTCCCACCTTTAAAACGCCCTTTATCGTACATGTTTCCATGACACTAAGTTTCCTTTTATAAATACACATTGACAAGTTGTGGCTTTACGGCGCTTTAGTCACGGGCTGAAGTTGGCAACAGGTTTTTAGTCACGGGCTGAAGTTAGTTTTAAGTTAGTTGACAGTTGTCAAATGTCATACAATCGTTAAAATAAAGTGCCTTTCTTGTAAAATAAAACTAAATGTGAAAATTATTTTATTATCTCAATACAAAAATACAAAAATATTAAATAGTTTCTCAACGCCAATATTTGAAAAGTTTATATGAACATTGTACTGACTTTTTAATTTCACCGGCAGTAAACTATAACTTAAATTCGGGCACAGACTCTACTGTAAAGTCCTCATAAAACATTTCCTTTACTTTCACTGTGAAAAACTGTCAATTTTCAAGATACATTTCGATTTATAACCTTTATAATTGTGTTTATAAAATGTAAAAATGTGACATTTGACAGTTTCCCCTGTTGTTTTATAGATGGCGCTCTATACAAATTTTTGATTTAAATCATTTTAAGATAATAATAAGTATTTGTCGTAGAAAAAGTATAGTATGCACCTCGTTTATAAACTTTTCTATACACTCATTAAGTTAAGCACTCGCTCGCAAGCTCGCTCGTGCCTAAATTAAATTCGTGTATAAAATGGCGTTTATCAAACTTGATACATAATATACTATTATGTAACTTCCGATATTCATAATACACAATACTATTTTATTTTATGAGTACGTAGGTTGCAAAAATATATAATAATAATTGTATAATTTACAATTACTTCTTTCAGAGAATTGAAATGGCAAACAAATGCATTTCTTGAAGAGTTTCTTTATTTTAATTTTACATTTTACAAGTATTGCTTAGATGAATATTGTAAAATCGTTAAAACAAGTTCCTAAATAAAATAAGATTTAAAAAATGTTTGTTGCTTTAAACTTTAATTTTATTTAAACTGTATGAAACTGAATATTGATTCAAGAATTGAAATTGCTTCTTTAAATGAAGTTTTGGTCAAATACTTGAAATTAGTAATTCAATATTGTAAAATGCTTAATTCAACATGAAAAACATAACAAATCTAAAACTCTTTCTTTAACATGCTAATACTATCGTTTGTATTTAATATGTATAAACATGTTAAGAAAAGCAATTTTCGTTTGAATCAACACTCTCTTTTTCTCAGTGTACAGTTTCAAATATTTGGAAAGTTATTTGACAGCATTTATCTTAAATACTTTGAGTATACATTGTCAAGACTATTTGAAGAAGCACTATAAATATTGTAAACATTTAAAGTACCCATATAATTTGAACTTAATATTGTTGATTCAGTTTAAATTTCAAAACGGCAGTTAATTTGCAAAGTATACCCCGCTGGAGGGTAGTAAACAGGCCATTAAGCGTCAGGGGGGGCTGGCAGTAATTATATTTACAAATGGCGTGTCAAACCGCATAAAACTAATTAAAACGGGCCCGTCCCCCCGGTCAACACCGCCCCCCCCCCCGAAAAAGTCCCCGGACACTATGAATGTAGTGTTTTGTTTTCCGTCGTGGCCATTTTGACACCCCATTTTAATTTCGAAAATTGATATGCACATGCGATTTATGCGACCGTTTTGGGCATTACGGAAAACTGTTTTGTTTAATTTTTTTTATTTGAAGATAGGAATTTAACTTATGTATGTATATTGGAAATTAAATTGACGACCAACTTTTGTTTTCATCGACGGGGAAATTTAAGAAACATCCCTGAATTTGATTTAAAGAATCTTCTAAGAAGATATGACCCGGAATAATGGAATATTCTTAGAACCTTCCCTTATTGCTAAGAATGTTCTTAGGGACTTTTAAAAAATTCAATAGATACCCTTTTAATGATGCAATTAGATTCTTAAAAGCTTCTTAAAACCTTCCTAAAAAGCATCCTAAGAACATTTTAAGAATACGTTTTTGGAATTTTCTTAGAAGGTTTCTTATGGAGCTTCTAGGAAGC